CAGTTGCTTTTGTTCTTTTGGATGTGGGCCAGTATCTGTGGTGTGAGATGATATCTCATTGTGGTTTGATCTGCATCTCCCTGATGATTAATGATGTAGAGCATTTTCTCATGTGCCTTTTAGCCATTCAGATTTCTTCTTTGAGAAAGCTTCTGTTCATTTTGTCGCCCGATTTTTTTATGAGGTTGGATGTTTTCTTCTTGTGGAGTTCAACCTGTACTTTGTATATCCTTGATATCAACCCCTTGTCAGATGTGTATTGGGCGAATATCCTTTCCCATTCTGTAGATTGTCTTTTTATTTTGGTCACTGTTTCTTTTGAGGTGCAGAAGCTTCTTAGTTTAAGATAGTCCCATTTGTCTATCTCTGTTTTCACTTGCTTGGCCAGTGGCGTGCCATCTTTGAAGATACCATTAGCTTCAATGTCATGGAGGGTTTTGCCAACTTTGTCTTCAATGTACCTTATGGATTCCAGTCTGATGGTGAGGTCTTTCATCCATTTTGATCTTACTTTTGTACATGGTGTTAGGCAGAGATCTGAGCCCATTTTTTCCATGTAGCTGTCCAGTTTTGCCAGCACAATTTGTTAAAGAGGCTTTCCTTGCTCCACTTCACATTTCTTGCTCCCTTGTCAAAGACTAGATGATCATATGTTTTTGGGGAGATGTCAGTATATTCAACCCTGTTCCATTGGTCTGCAGCTCTGCCTTTGTTCCAGTACCATGCTGGGAAACAGAAAACTTTGGCGTCAGCAATACTTCAACCTTGCCTCTGCCTTAGAGCATCAAGGCCAGTGCTCTAGCAGCTTCTTCCAGTTTTAACAATCCCCTACTTCTCTCTGCCACCTGCTCCTTAGTGCACACAGGCATCTTCTCTCAGCCTCTATAGACCCATTGTTCTCCCAATAATCTCTTTCATATGACTAAGGTCTAGAGCACGTGTGGGTGTCGATGTCCTGGCTATGCTGCACTCATAAACTTTTAAGCATCTACTGTACAAGACAGATGGACCATCTCCTTGTTCCCAAAATCCCTGTAATTACGAGATAAGTACATGCAGGGAGCTGGAGTTTAAGCATTTGATCAATGGTCTCTGCAAGGGGGACATTTTCCCAAACCCACGGAGCTGCTCCTTACTTCATGCTGAGACCTCATCAGGGAAGACAGGTTATGGATCGGACTATACCAATTTTGAATTTAACACTTTTGAGAGGAGAGTATTTTCCTGAGTATCTACAACGGGCAAATAACATGCCCCTAGTGTCAACCAAAACATTTTCTTTATTCCTATCATTTCAAATGTGAGCTGAGCGTCCCCTGCCAAAATGTTAAACACAGGAGCCTGTGTGCCTTGGGCCTCCCCAGAACAGGAAACTGAAAGTCTCCTCCAGGGACTGAGTAAAGCGAACTGAGGATCCTGTCTGTACCAGGACACGGGTGGATAGTTAGACCTAGGTCAGGCTAGGAGACTTCCCGACACTTCTGCTCACCAGGGAGCAATTTCTGTCCCAAGATCCTGTCTGTTTGCAACTGGGACAACTGTTCTGTGGCCCTAGCACTTGGTACGGGGCCTGGGAGATTGAAACAGATTTAAGTCTTGGAGTTCAGGGAACCGGGTGTTTTTGTGAGGATTCAGAGATTAAAGTCAGGGTAAAAGCCCCTTACCCCAAAACACTCAACTGTGTGGGTCAGTTCATCTATCTAGCTGCTCTTAGCGACTGTTGCTACCATGCCGTGGATCCTTTAAGCTCTATATTATGAGAAAGATCATTCTGCATCTCTCCCTTTCCTCTGACTGATTTACTTAGCATGATATCCTCTAGTTTTTCCTAGATTACAGAAAGTTGAGTGATTTTCAACTCAGTAAGCATGGTAAGGTTCACAGAGGGTAGACAGGACTCTTTCCAGGTGTTTCTCATGTATGTGATATTTATGAGTTAAATGTCTTCAGGGCAATGATCCAGACTTCTGAATTCAGTTGGAAGTGTGTAGCACTAGGAGAGTGATTGGTGATTTGAAAACGTGGCATTCCCAGTTGTCACTTGGAGGTGTCACTGCAAACAGAGGACAGTGGGGAGACAGAGATCAGTCTGACCACTCTAGAACAGTAGGTAGCAGTTCAGTCCCCAAGAGGTCCCTCTAGGTGTCTACTCTGTGCAGAGGCAGGAAGGTTGCATTGAGAACAATCCTCGAGGTCTGACTTCTGGACTATCCTGTCCTAGGAATCTGTGCCTTTCTGCTCTACTCACACTGACAGTCCAGGCTGGCCTTCATGTCAGGTCCCTGCTTCTGTGCTCTGCATTGACCTCGGTTGGAACTTTAGCCCATATTGTGCTCATTGTGCCTTCAGGAATTGAAGGGTTGTCCTGATACATGTATGTTAAATGTTCTCCTAGAAGAGGGAATGAAGATATTCTCATATCAGATATGAGCATTTTCCCTGTCATTGGGAAGAGTTTTGTTCACTTTTTGTAAATTGACCATTTTAATAAATTTGGTAACATTTTGAAAGTGCAGATATGAATCTTGGATTCTGCATAAAAAGTAAACCTCATAGTCCAACTCTGAAAGCACGTATATACCCAGGAATACTGTGGTCTTCATGACTGATAGCCCATCAAATAGTCATGCTGTCTGAGGCTTCCCTGTGGACACTAATAGAAGACACACACACACATATGTACATGTATGTATATATTGCTGTTTTCTGCTCATCTAGTCTATGTTTTTGGGCATGTATATATATCCATGGACATATGTCATCAATGTCAATTGAGATAAAGTAATAAATTGTGATTATTTATTCTCAGATTACAGAAAATTAATGTCTCACTCAATAGCTAAGTGGCTGAACACTAACAGTGGTGGTACAGTCAATGAGATTACAAAACAATCCTAATTTATGCAGAAAATTAATGTCTCACCCAATAGCATATACTTCCCAGGAATATTGATCAATTGGTGAGATAAGACAAGAGGTGAACTCAGCTTGGATTAATGAGTCCTGGGGTGAGGGAGCAGACCCTGAGGACTTGCTCTAGATCCTGTCTGCTGGTCCATGCTACTTCCAGCATTTCTGGGCACATTCCAGACCTTGTGTCTGTGCTTGGGTAATGACCTTCCCCTGAGCTGGGCTGAGATGCCCCCAACATCAGGACTTCGCAGTCCCTGACCCTGACCTTTTCCTTACCACCACGTGTTAGGAGAAATGTGACAATGGTCCTTTTCATGTAGGGTCATCTCCTCCACTGTCTTTGTCCATGGCAGGATTCCAGCTCAGGAATATGAAAATACAAACATGCACAGAGGGACAGGGCTCCACAGAAACTCCAGAAGAGGATCCTAAGGCCTGTTATTCGTCGATTGCCTCGAGCAGGCCCCAGTAACGTCTCTTTCATCCTAGCCCTGAGATTATATTCAAGGCTCTTTAGGAGAATGAGACCCATCATTGTTACTGGTATTTGGCATATTTGGTACGCCACGGGGAGTTTGCCAGACTCTGCCCTGTGGGCAGGCTACATTCGATAGCCTGCAAGTTTGTCCAAAGTAGGAATGAGATAATAAGATGTCATAAAAAGATGTCCTGATAAGACGTTCTGGGAGCTTGATTTTATAGTCTCTGAGTCTTGGCCGCTGATGGGATTACACGGCGCCAGGGGGCCAGGTGGTGGGTGTGACCCCCACCTACTGGAATTTGGAGGATCTGGGTGGAGGATGCTCGACTCCAATCCGAGTAGGCTTGGAGATCTCGGCCCCGGAACCCGCGTGGCTTTGTCCCTCTGCCAGTACCTTCATGTGTGCAGAGTGATCTCAGCATGGTGGTGGCTGGTCCTGGAGGTCATCGGCTGCTGGAGCCCTGGTCGGGGCGGGGAGGAAAGCTCAACCCGCTCCCCTCCAAGGGACCCCAGCGAGGAACAGCCAGATGCAGGGGCAGGAGACTGCACTGGTCTCGTCCGGGAAACTCCACAGAAACTCCAGAAGTGGATCCTAAGACCAACACTCAAATTTCATTTTAGAGGAAAAGAAATTTTTGCTGAACCACAGAATTAAAAAGAAAGTGTGACAATAAGTCTGCCATGGGTAGATCTACAGCCCACGAATGTGTAGTGACACTAACCCAAACTTCCACATGGTTCGTCCTGTACCATCTGAGGCACTCCACTGAAAAATTCTTTTATTTTTTTTTTGCTTTTTGGGTCACACCAAGCGATGCACAGGGCTTACTCCTGGATCATGCATTCAGGAATTGCTCCTGGAGGTGCTCGAGGGACCGTATTAGATGCTTGGAATCGAACCCGGGTTGGCTGCGTGCAAGGCTAACACTGTACCTGCTGTGCTATTGCTCCAGCCCCTCCACTCAAAAATTCTTAAAGAAAATATGAGTGACACCAAATGTTCTAGAGAGAAGCCATCTTCCTGTTGGCTATTGCCGAAGGACAGAGAGAGATCCTGAGCCTTTCCCGCAGATGAAGCCTGACCCTGTGAACCCCATTCTGTGTCTCAGATCCTGACTCTCTGGGGAGGAAGGAAGGAGGATCAGCGTCCCTGTCATCTCCTCGCTCGGCACAGCTGCATCCCCCTCAGGTTTCTGACACACTCAGGATGTGGTTGTAACACTGTGTCTCTCGCACAGTAATACACAGCCGTGTCCTCAGTGCTCAGCCTGCTCAATTCCATGTAGGCTGTGTTCTTGGACTTGTCGACAGTGAAGGTTAGTCTGCCCTGGAACTTCTGTGCGTAGCCTGTACCACCACTTTTAGTGTTTAGCCATCCCATCCACTCGAGCCCTTGTCCTGGGGCCTGCAGCACCCAGTGCATCCCGTGGTCGGTGAAGGTGTAACCGGACGCCTCACAGGAGATCTTCACTCCCAGGTTTTCCCACCTCAGCCCCCGACTGCACCAGCTGTACCTGGGAGTTCACACCTGTGGACAGCAGACAGGAGTGGGTGGACTCCACATAACTGGCCCCGTTCCCGCAGTCCAAGGCACGGGGACGCTTACCTGCAGTCACTGCCACCAGGAAGAGAATTCTCCAGGTCCAGTCCATGGTCGGGGAACGTGCACTCAGGGGCTTCTGAGTGTGGGTGTGCCTGCTATGTGAGGTTGTCAGGACATAGACGCATCTGTATTCAACTCAGTGTCCCACATATGATTTGCATATTCATGAGGAGGGAGAATTCATAGCTAAACACTTGGTCCAACCTTCGAAGATGCTGCTGGAAGCAACCAGGTCCATCCTCAAGAGGAGTGAAGAGGTCCACGTTCTGACCCTTGTTTGAGGAGATGAAACCCTGCCCTGTCCCAGGATTCTGTACACAGAGAGCTCCCCCTCTGGAGGGTCAAGCCCTTTCAGGACCTTCCCTTCAGGACCATCCACATCTGTATGGCTTGGAGACATCTGGATACACCTGGGCTTTGAGGTTATTTCTGGGATCCTGTGACTCCACAAGAGATACTACAATGAGACTACAAAACCATTCTAATGCTCCAGAGGTTTCCATTGGAGATATTAAGAAGTTCAGAAACACCACCTGCATGTGGATTTTTACTGCCTCATCAATATGATAAATGTGCCTTCCAAAATGATAGGTGTGTAAAATTTTATCTTCTGTGTCTTATACGTATCTTAATTTCTGCTATCTTGAGAAAGGCAAATTTAGTTTTAGTGAAGAAATCCATTCTGAGAAGATTTCTGCCCCTCTGCTCCCATTTCTCCCATCACACCTTCTAGCCTGCAACTCGGTGCTCTTGGGATTTGGCGCCCTCTGCAGCCTGGTCCCCACCCTGCAGCCTCTGGGCTCTCAGGCGCTTCAACCTCTTGTTATCTTTAACACAGGATTGAATTCAGGGTCTTTACTTCACTGGTGGAGCATCCTTCACCCAGATCATTCAAATTCCAGTAGGCGGGGGTCACACCCACCAACTGGCCCCCTGGCGCCGTGTAATCCCATCAACGTCCAAGACTCAGTCACTTCACTTAATCACTAAACTTCCCGTTCGTTGTCAATTTGCTCGAGCGGGCACCAGGAATGTCTCCATTTGTCCCTGTCGCGTACTAGTGTAGCCCAATGGCATCTGTTCGATCTAGGAACATGAAGAGTCTCAAACTGATCGTTCAATGATCTTGATGAAGAAGTCTGACCATCTGGTAGGTGGGTGGCCATGCCTCTTTTGACATCCCGTGGAATCCAGTCGGTAACAGCTCTAGTCCAGCGGTCGTCTTTAAATCTCATTACGTGACCAGCCAATCTGATTTTTGACACCTTAGTAAATGATACAGCATCCCTGATTCTTGATCGTCGACAGATATTGGAACTCCGGATTCTTTCTCTCATTTGAGTGAAACGTGATATTCCAAGCATAGCTCTTTCAATTCCTCTGTGGGAGACCTGAATAGCGTTCTCATTCTGTTTTCGTAGGGCCGAGGTCTCTGAGGCATATGTTAATGCAGGAAGAACAGTGGAATCAAAGAGATGTGGCCGGAGCCGGAGGTTCTTCTTCCTCTTAGCTATTTCTTCGACATTCTTAAAGGCGTTTCAAGCTGCTCTCTTCCTCCTACGCAGCTTGGGTGCCAGGTCATTTGTCATGTTGTCTTCTCGACCTAGGTACATATAGCTGTTGAATTTGGAGAAGGTCATTCCGTTCAGAGCGAATGGGGCATCAGGAACGAGACTGTTTCTCATAAACATTGTCTTCATAAGATTCAGCTGTAGTCCTACTTTTTCACGCTCACGGTCAACGTCGGCCAGCATTTGTGCCACTTGGCTGATGTTTATTGTTATTAAAACAATGTCATCAGCAAAGCGGAGGTGGTGTAGTTGCCGACCATCTATCATCACTCCCATTCCTTCCCATTCCAGTCGCCGCATGATGTTCTCAGGGTGGCACTGAAGAGTTTCAGTGAAATGGTATCACCCTGCTGAACCCCTCTCTTGACATCAATCATTACTTCTTTGTATAATGGTGAGATCATGGTAGTGAATCCACAATACAGCTCACAGAGGATCTTGATGTATTGGGCTTGAATTCCCTGATTGTCTATGGTTTCAATGACCGCTTCCGTCTCAACAGAATCAAAGGTCTTCTTTAAATCAAGGAACGTCAAACAAAGCGCTATCTAGAACACCCGAGAAACCTCAATGAGCTTGGTTATCGTGTGGATATGGTCAATTGTGCTGAATCCTTCGCAGAACACGGCTAGCTCGCATGGTTGTGCTTCATCTAGTGTTCTGCCAATACTATTTAGGAAGACTCGAGTGAACAACTTGTAGATGACAGACAATTGGCAGATCGGGTAATAGTTGCCAATGTCATGGATGTCTCCCTTCTTGAACAGTAGTACAGTCCTGCTGGTTTTCCATTGGGATGGAACCTTGCATTCAGACAGGTACCGTTTGAAGATCCGAGACAGTGTATTGATGAATACTGATGGAAGGTTCTTCAGGTGTTCAGGTTTGACCTTGTCTGGGCGGGATGCTGTTCGTTTCTTTACTGACAAAATGGCGTGTCGGATTTCAGAAGGGAGAACATTGGGAATGACATATCCATCCTGTGGAATTTGGTATGTCAGCAAGTGGACATGGCTATCGAAGAGATTTGAGTAGAAGTCATTGATAATCTTCTCCATTGCCATTATGGAGAATGTGATAGATCCATCAGGACATCGGAGGGTAGTCATCTTGGTCTTGTAGTTGGAGAAGGACAGGCAGGCGTTATAAATACTTTTCCCAGCTTCTGCCGCATCTACCAGCACTTCTGCTCTTCTCTCTTTGAGGTCTTCCTTGATCGCATCTCTGCACTGCTTTGCGAGCTCGGACGATAGCTTGCGGTTGCCCAAGGCATGCGCAAAACCACGTTGGAGAATAAGCTCAAGAGTTTTCGAAGACAGGCGTTTTTTTGTTGCTATCTCTCTCTTGGCATTCCTCGCACAATCATGGAGATGCTGAACCAATCGATTGTATTCCTCGTCAGTGTTGTCAACAATGGCATCTTCCCATGTTGCCGCAATAGTGCCAAAGAATTCCCAGTTGGTGGTCGTTCTGGGAGTTCTCTTTTTGAACTTTGTAGCCCTTTCTCCCTGCTCTGTGAAGTAGAATTTTGCATGAAGGAGATGGTGGTCTGATCCCGTTTGGAATTTTGGGACAGTAGCGATATCGGTCAGGCAAAACCGTCGATTGAATATGATGTGGTCTATTTCGTTGTGTCGATAGTGGAAGTCTGCCAGTGGGGTATTTTTCTGTGTAGGGCGGGTCTTCTGTGTGCGATCTGATCCCTGGGTGGTTGATGGAAACAGACAGGTCTGGGTAGGGTGGGGCTCCTGATTAGAATCCCTTTGTTACCTGTGGTTGGTGGGAGTAAGCAGAGAAACTCTGTTCCTGGGTCCGCCAAGCTGGAGTCCAAGGTCTCAGAGACTTCCGCTTATCTTATTCTGTGGGTCTTCAGTCGTGCGTGTGTCTTGCCCGGAGCTGCCACACGGGTCCGGAAAGCATCCTGGAGTGTGGCGACGGCTGGGTAGTGGACACTAAGGTAAAGGTAAAGGCCCTCCCGTTGATCATCGATTTGCTCGAGCGGGCCCAGTAATGTCTCCATTGGAGACTTTGTTGTTACTGTGTCTGGCATATCCAATACTCTCCGTAGTTGCCGGGCTCTCCGAGAGGGGTGGAGGAATCGAACTCGGGTCGGCCATGTTGGCCGCATGAAAGGCAAATGCCCTACCCGCTGTGCTATCGCTCCAGCCCTAGTGGACACTACCGCAAAGCCTCTGCCGTGAGACACATCATGAGAAAATAAATACTCATCTTCCAGAATTGTCATACCATAATTGATAGGGTTCAAATATGGTAATACCTACAAGGGTGATTAGAGGTCGCCCCCAAAGCCTCTATCCCTCTCGGAAAGACTGGCAAGCTACCGAGAGTATTCCGCCCGCATGGAAGAGCCTGGCAAGCTATCCGTTGTGTATTCGATATGACAAAAGCAGCAACTACAACTGGTCTCATTCACCTGACCCTGAAGGCTTCACCGACATGGCAGCACTGAGAGGATGAGAAAGGAGAGGCCGACAAAATCTAAAGGCCGAACTAGGCTGCCACAACGAAGAAAGACAAAAATGATCGTCTGTACTTTCAATGCACGTACGCTAGCGTCAGATGCATCCATTGAGGATCTGATGGTACAAGCGCGAATGATCAAATACGACATCATTGGTCTGATCGAGACAAGAAGGCACGAATCTCACCATGCCGTTTTCGACACTGGAGAATAATTGTTCCTCGGAACATGCGATAAAAGAGGTGTCAGAGGCGTCGGTGTCCTTGTCAACACAAACTTGGCCAAGAGCATTGATTCATTCGAATGCCTAACAACCGAAATCGGAAGTTTACATTTGAATAGATGTGACTCACTGCCTGCAGTTTGTATCATCGTTGTCTACGCACCAACATCTCATTATGATGAAAGAGAAATTGAGAAGTTCTACATGGAGCTAGAGAAGTTCTATAAAGAAGACCACACCTTCTATAAGATCATTGTGGGTGATTTTAATGCCAAGATAGGACCGAGAAGATCAGCTGAAGAACTTCTCATCAGGACCCATGGCCTAGAATGGAACGAACAGGGTGAGAGACTGTCTGAGTTCATCATGTCGACCAGGATCATCCATGGTACCTCACAGTTCCAGAAGGCAGAATCTAAGCGTTGGACATGGGAGTCTCTCGGTGGACGATTCCACAACGAATTAGACCACATCATATTCAATCGACGGTTTTGCCTGACCGATGTCGCTGCTGTCCCAAAATTCCAAACGGGATCGGACCACCGTCTCATTCATGCAAAATTCTACTTCTCAGAGTGGAGAGAAAGGGCTGCAAAGTTCAAAAAGAGAACTCCCAGAACGACCATCAACTGGGAACTCTTTGGCACTATTGCCGCAACATGGGAAGATGCCGTTGTTGACAACATTGACGAGGAATATGATCAACTGGTTCAGCACCTCCATGAATGTGTGAGGAACGCCAAGAGAGAGATAGCCATAAAAAAACGCCAGTC